GTTAGCTCGTCTCGGGCTAGCCGTTAGCTCGTCTCGGGCTAGCAGTTAGCTTGTCTCGGGCTAGCTGTAGCTCGTCTCGGGCTAGCAGTTAGCTCGTCTCGGGCTAGCCGTTAGCTCGTCAGCGTGACCTTAAGTCATCAACATACGTTGTCCGCCACATAGCCAAAAGGTGGAAAGGAAACGTGAACAGAACTTAGAAAAACACCTGAAAAAGGTCCACACGTCAGAGCTGGCTGATGATTGGGACCAGAGTTCGCAGGACACGCGGAGCGCAAAAATACATTTGATCGTAAACAAAACCAAACGGCTGGCAGCGAACAGAACCTGGACCGAGGCATGACAGACGATCACGCTCGACTGAGGATGTGGTGAAAACTGAGCGACTAACGAGGAGAGGGGACACACCTGGCATGATGGGAAATGGGCGACAGGTGAGAGTGGGCGGGGCAGAAGCTGAAGGAGCAGAACTACCTGAGAGGCTGATAACAGCTGATCTGGTAACTGCAGACACACTCCGGGAGCTCCAAGGATAAAATAAAGATCATTTATTTAAAAAGGCCGAAGTGGCAGCAGAAACTTCCATGTTGCGACATGGAGGGAGCCAGATGACGACTCGACAGGAGGATCCAGTGACGGGAGCAACGAGGAGACGCAGAACTTATAGGGACACTAACGAGGGGATGATAAACACCTGGGGAGGGACAGGTGACGGAGGCTGGAGCTGACGGAGGATGAACTGAGGAAAGAAACACAAAAAGCACCCAGACCCCCTCAGTTGTTGTTTTTAAGCTCATATTTATGCGCGTGGCTTCACCTCCTGCACTAGAACGTCTTTTATTCAAACCGATCTTGAACATTTCTCCTCAACCTGCGCTTGTTCAGTATTAATGTTCAGAACGCTGCTTCAAAGATCTGAACTATCCCTTTAAAGTCCCTCTGCAGCGTCTCCGGCTCGGAAACAAAACTTGAGCTGCTCGCCTTAAAAACAACTTTTATCAGAGTTTGTTGTGACGTTAAAGAGTTTCTGAGGAGTTTCGCCCGTCAGGAAACTTCATGACTGCACTGATGGAGATTAAAGAGTTCTCCAGGATCCAAAACCAAGTTTGAACTCGGTTCTTAAATCATGGAGGCTTGACTGTGTGAAGTCTGTGTTATAGCACCACCTGGTGGTCAAGTCCAAAACTACAAATATAAAAGTGATGAATATAATCCGACACAACCTGGATTGACTTTGTTCATTTCAGTCTTGCACATTTGATAAACTTGTAAATAAACTGGTTTGTTTTCAGTTCACGTTTCGTGGCTGAGCAGCTGAAGGGACGTGATGTTGCGTTGCAGGAACCAGGAAGTAGACGAGGAGTCCATGCTGGAGACTCAGCTGACAGACACTGGAAGCACCGGGAGAAAACCAGTAACAACTTCTTGAGTTCAAGAACCACAAGGAGGCTGACAGCTAACACCAGTTGGTAATGCTCCACCAGCTGCTGCTCAGTGGTGCCGCCCAGGAACCAGGAACATGAGGAAAGAGCTGAGGAGACCTCGGGACAGATCCAGAACTCTCTGGAGGGATGATGCGTCCTCTCAGGAGAGAGGGGCATCTGTATGGATGGATGGAGCAGAAGTCCGTCACTGGTTGTAGTCCAGTAAAGCCAGCAGTTCTTCAGGGCCCACCACTCTGCCACAGTCGAGTCCAAGTTCATGTCCACCACCAGAACCTAACCCCGTCTTGTCTTGCTGTCCCTCTTCTTTCCGTTTCCTCTCTCACACGACCCAACCATGACCCACTGGTCAAACGTCCCAGAAGTTTTCTGCAGATTTAAAAGTTCCATGTTTAGGAGGAGATTCTGAGTTCACCTGTCACTGGTCATAATAATATGGCTGATGGGTGCATGCGCTGCCTCTGCGAGCAGATGATAAAAATAACGTTTTGCTGCCCTCTAGTGGACGTTTCCAACAAGCACACTGAAGCAGAAGTAAAACTATCAGGTTCATCCAAATATTCTGATTGAGCTTCAGTTTGAAGAAGCTGCAGACAGAAAATAAAACCACAAAATAAGAAATTTATTTTAAAAAATGATGTCATGCAGCTGAGAAGCCAATCCACACGGATTTAAGTTATAAAAATTATTCTTCTTGTAGTAATTCAGAGACAAAAAAGTTTTTATTTCATGTTTCCTGCAGTTTTCCAATAGATCACAAAAAAATATGTAATTAGAAAAATAATAAACTAAATGAAAAGGAAAAAGCTGAAATTAGCAAATTAGTAACTGAAAAAAAGCTGAAATGAGCATAAAAAGTTGAGATTATCAGAAGTAAGCACAAAAGGTGGAAATGAGCTAAAATAAAAGTCAGAAAAACAGCTAAAATTAGCAGAAATATACCTAAAAAAAAAAGCTGGAAGAGCAGAAAAAACCTGAAAAAAGTTTAAATTAATTAAAAAAAATTGATTAAAAAAAAATGAAATTGAAAAAAAAAAGCTGAAATTAGCAAAAAAGTAACAAATAAAACTAAATTAAAAAATATGAAATGAGCATAACAAGTTGAGATGAACAGAAAGAAGCCAAAAGGCAGAAATTAGCTCAAATAAAAGACAGAAAAACAGCTAAAATTGTATGAAAAATACAAAAAAAGTAGTTAGAAAGGCAGAAAAAAAGCTGAAATTAACAAATATAATAATTTAAATAAAAAAACAACAACCAGAAATTAGAATAAAAAAAATGAAATTAACAAATTTAATAAAAAAAAAAAATAAAAAAAAATTAGAATTAAAAAAAGCTGAAATGAGCATAAAAAGTTGAGATTGTCAGAAGGA